TAAAAATTAAATTCATTGATGTTATAAAAATTAAATTCACACAATAAAAGATAAAATTAAATTCACTGATGTTATAAAAATTAAATTCACTGATGTTATATAAAATTAAATTCACTGATGTTATAAAAATTAAATCCACACAATAAAATATGAAAATTATAATAAGTATAAATAAAAAATTAAATTCAAACAATTAAATTAGAATAGAGAGAGAGAGCATAGAATATATATATATTATATGTATATAGAGCATATACATTAGAGACTCTCTTTCCATAACAACAGACAAAGCTGAGTGAGAGAGGGCAGCAAAAGAAACTATTAGAGAGAGAGAGAGAGAGAGAGAGACTAACAACGGTTTGTGTGGAAAGGAGAAGAAAGGCTGTCGGCGGTGAGGAAAGGCAAGGGAAGAAGACGAAAGGCTGTCGGCAGTGAGTCGATCGGCACAATGGTAGCGACGATGTGTGTGAATCGATGAGATGTTGTAGCAGCGGCGGTGAGGAGAAAGACTGTGTGTGTAAGTGTGAATGAGATGAATTTGAAATATGTCAATTAGGTTTGATGGAGAAATTATTGTGTGGGTGTGAGAGAGAGTATAAGGTCTACGTGTATAAGCATAACAGGTTTTTTTTTTTTTTAACATATGCGGGTCGGGTCGGGTCGGTCGGTTTGATATGCGGGCAAATTCCACCCGCACCGACTTGCTAGTGCTGGCCTCCCACCCACCTACCCACCCAACTTGCGCCGCCCGCCAGAGTTGAAATTTTGTGCGGTTCGGTGCGGTTCTGAGCGATTCGGTGCGGTTTTGGCTGTTATGGCGGTATTATGCACAGCCCTACTTGTGCATAACACGAGTAATATGCTAGTATATTATACAAGGAAAAAGGAGATTTCTAATCCACAAATATCGTGGGAGTTCTAATATCCCAATCTTAATTTTTTTTTTAAAAAAGCCTCTACATTTATTGACTTCTCCCAACCCACAAGTTTTTTTTAACTTTTTTTTTCATAATTATTGCAGCAAAAACCCATACATATTTATTATAATACTATTTTTAACTTTTCTTATATATTATAGTTAGTGATAAGATTGTTAAATTATTTTTATAATTTTTTTTAAAAACATAATTTATATATTAAAAAAAATTTAAAACAAATATAAATATTATTATCCCGTGCATAGGCGAGTGATAGGCTAATAATCTAGTTAAAAAGAAGAGAAAGAGGACAGAGAAAAGAATGAAAAGAAGCAAAGCGATGCAGAGAGAAGAGAGATAGAGAGACCAAAGCGTTTGGTGGAATCGACTTCGCGACTAGGGTTTGCATTTTGATCCTGCTTCGCGAGTCGACTTGCTTCACAAAGTTGAGTTTCAGTCCCCCTCTCTCTCTCTCCCTCTCCATCTCTGAGTTTCAGCACCAAGGATCCTCTAGGTGTTTTTATCCTAAAATTTACTAAGGTGATGTATTGTGTGGTTGAGATTTAATACTGAAAAATTGATGTGACTTGTCATTAAATCTCAACCACATAGGCCTCGTTTGGGAAGTGGCTATTTTAGTTTTTGGCTATTTTAGTAGGTTAAAATTTTTGTGTTTGGGAAGATGATTGGATTTTTTTGTAGTTGGATGTGATCTTTGTGAGAGAAAAAGTGAAATGATTATGAGTTTGATGTGATATTTTGTCTTATTAGCTATTTTAGTCTATTTTATCTTTTTGTGATTTTTAGCCTAAACTAGGTTATTTTTTTTCTTCCCAAACACTAGGGCTGAGCAACAAATCCGTGAAATCCGTAATCCGATCCAGTCCAGTCCAATCCGATAGGTTTGGATTGGTTTTTTGAATCCGCGGTTCGGTTCCAGATTGAAGAATTAAAAATCCGTAGTTCACGGATTGGTTCCGGATTGAATCCCACGGTTCCGAATTGGAACCGATCCGGACCATATACAAATAGTCTATATTTTTATTATACACCATCCCACATAATATCTTCTCTTTTTTCATATAAAACCTAAACTCAAACCTAAATCCATATAGTATCTTCTTTTATTACTTTTGTTTGTTATTTTTTAGTTTTAATTAATAATGGTCTAAATACGTATGGTGGAACTAGTTTTATTATAGTTGCTTAAATTCTAATAGTATGTCACTATTATAAAAAGACATGTTGCTATTGTGGAACTAATATAGTGCTATGTTTATGGTTTTATGAAATTATAGTGTTATATATATTTTTTGTTATTTAATAATGTGAATTGTGAACTTGCAAACGTGATAACTTATGAAGAGCCGTTGTTGACGGGATGGAAGCCACCTTTGAGAATTAGAAGAAGGATGTCAACAAAAGACTGATTCCATTCGAAAGCAATGGCATATTATCGTTGATGGTGAAGATATCCCCCCGCCGATCAAAAATTTTAAGGAAATGAGGTTTCTGGAGCCAATTCTAAGCAAGTTGAAAGCAAAGGGAATTGTACAACCAACACCTATTGAAGTGCAGGGACTTCCTGTTATCTTGTCAGGAAGGGATATGATACGGATTGCATTTACAGGTTCTGGTAAAACATTGGTTTTTGTGCTGCCGTTAATCATGGTGGCATTGCAAGAAGAGTTGATGATGCCGATTGTTCCCGGGGAAGGGCCATTTGGATTGATAATTTGCCCATCTAGGGAGCTTGCTAGGCAGACTTATGAGGTTGTGGTGCAATTTTTAATTCCAATGAGGGAGTATCGCTTTCCGGAATTGAGACTGTTGCTTTGCATTGGTGGGGTTGATATGCGGTCACAATTGGAGATTGTGAAGAAAGGTGTGCATATCGTTGTTGCCACCCCTGGAAGGTTGAAGGACATGCTTGCGAAGAAGAAGATGAGCCTTGACAATTGCAGGTAAGCACTTCTGAATCAAGTTTTGCTGAAAATCATGTTACATGGCAATAATGTCTAATATTTTTATCTAACAACTATCATTTATATGGATCATGCAACCACCTATTTTGACATATTGGCTTATGTCAATAGTCTGGGTCTTCCTTTTTTTTTCTCCTTCTGTTTGACTTTCTCTGAGCCAATGAAATATGACTAGAATTTGTTAAGAAAAATCCTCATAGGGCATCAGGTTAAGAAAAAATTGGTCTGTTCTTATCTTTCAATAAACATTTAAACATATTCAGCTTGTGAGATGTCGTCTGCACAATTTGTGATGTAGAACCAGGAGGGAGAATAGGAGAGAGAATGAGGGAGAGAAGCACACAATGGCCATAACCATAATCTTGCAAAGGCCACAGCCTTGAATTCATTAATTCAAGGCTACCTAATACAATGTCAAAGCCTATTATTTGTAGGCTAATAACCCTAATAAAATAGGAAACTAGGAACTCTTCTAAAATAGGAAAACTAAAATAATAAGAAAACTACATATGAAACAATAAATGACTATTATTAATTAATAAAATTTTAATTAAGTCTCCACATGATGGAAAGTTGCTGCGCGTGAGCTGAATATTGGAACTCTACATTCTGCATCAATTTGTTTAAAACAATGGGGTAAAAAGCTATCTAGTTGAATTTTGTGAGTTTGAATATTGTCTTCTGGTTGATGCTTGACATTTCATGTTATGTAAATTGCTTACTTCAAATATACTTGATTTTGTTGTTTAATCTTGCTGTTGAGATGATGGCTCACCTATGAAGCACGGATACTTCAAAAAGAGAGACATATCCGTATCTTATTTGTGTCCGATACTTTTAATAAGTATCAGATACTTCTTAATTAATTTTTCATTAATTTTGGCATATCGGGTACTTAATTTTGAAGTATTGGATATTCCAAGTCACGTATTATTACTTGTGTTTTATAAATTAAAATTTTATGTATAACATTATAATATGATATATTGCAATAATAAATAAAAGAATATTTCATAACACATTGTTTAGTTCTTTTAGAAGAAGAACATAGTAAGCTAAAGTAGTAGAATTGATCAAATTGAGGTATCTTTATTGGTTCATGCATGTCCCCTATAACTACATGGAAAGTAAGGATTAACAATAATAAAATTAAATATCAATAAATAAATAAGTAAACTTGAATAGAACATTTTTTTCTAGTGCAAAAGGGAAAAGCACAAGACAAGTTGTGAATTGTTCTATTATTATAGTATAAACATATTAGACTCGATATTGAAATAAAATATTTGAAAGACTGATTGAAAATTTAAAAAGTAAACTAGACTTAAATTAGTTGTTGAAGGTTAGTATTTTAGATTATAAAATTATAGTGTTGTTTCCAAATATTTTTGAGCTCATGTGTAATTCACTACTAGGGATGGAAACGGGTAGGGGATGGGTCAGGGGCCCCCTACCCCACCCCTAACCTGCTCCCAAACCACGCCCCGCATAGAGACCTCCCCCATCCCCGCCCCTGCCCCACATATCCAATCCCAACCCCGACCCTACCCTACCCAATCTGCCATTCAAAGCAACCTCATTACAAATTGAATTATTATGAAAAAAATTGAATTAATGAGAAGTATTCAATAGATTTCACCACCCAAGCAACACAAAATCTGACTTTCTCAAAAGACTTGTACTTTCTCAAACAAAACATCTAAAGCTGCTAGTAGTCAATTAATAACAAAACAGAAAGACTTCCAAGCAAGTTAATATTTTCATCTCCAGCCTTCAGATCAACCAAATAAACATCAAAACATTACATAACATCAACAAAAAGTTTTCATTCTTCTAACCAAACTTCCCAAGTGTACATTGTACTTTCCCAAACAAAACATCAGCTAGTTGTAGTTAATAACAAAACAAAAAGACTAGAAGCAATTAATATTTTCATCTCCAGCCTTAACATCAACAAAATAACATCAAAACATTACTAAATTTCAAAAAGCAGTACAGAACATCAACAAAAGGCCTCGATTCTTCTAAGCAAATTTCCCAAGTCTAGATTCTTCCAAGCAAATTTGCAAAAAGCTCCCCTCCAAGCAAAACCAAACAAAAAAAAAAAAAGAAAAAAAAAAAGCACTTCATCAAGCTAGTAACAACCTAACCAAAAGCATTCCATAAAATTAAAGATTAATTTAATGAAATGCACCAAATGAAAAACAACAACAAAAACAAAACCTGTTATTCAATTAGCATTCGCATCGGCTTCCTCTTCTTCATCACAAAATTTAGGGGGATTAGTTGAAACTGTAGTAGAGCTAGTACCTATGAACAAATAACAATATTGTTCCATTAAATATGTGTAATATAATAAATAAATAAAATTAGTGGTTACTTACCATTAATATCACTCCATAGCCAGCTTTGTAAACACATCAAGGCCTCCAAAGTATATGGCTAAAGTCTACTACGATGTGGAGTAATCACCCTTCCACTTGTACTGAAACTAGATTTGGATGTAACCGTTGACACGGGAATAGCTAAGATATCCCAAACAATCTTTTGTACAGTAGGAAACTTAACCGCATTTGTCTTCCACCTCCTCAGAACATCAAAATCTGGGGTTCTAGGCAACACATTTTCCTCCAAGTAAAAGTCCAATTTTGATCTAACAAGCATGGAATTAGTACTCAAATTGACAAACAAATCATAACTGGAGAGAGGATCATGCTCATCCACATCAATGACCTAACAAGCAGATTTACTTCCTCCCATGGTATTAGGTCGATTCCTTTCCAACCTAGATTGGTACTCGTGAAGCAAATCATAGCAATCCTGTCTAATTTTTTCAATTTGATACGAAGCGTTATCTCCATAAATGATTGGGAAGTAATATTCCACAAGCTTCATTTTATACCTTGGATCCAAGACACAAGCTTTTCCCATATGATAACATGACACACACTCCAATATTTCTCATATTTTTCCATCATTTTTTATGCCATCTCCCTAATGACCTCAATTGGACTTTCCAGCCACTCAGACAATGCCACTTTAATCTTACAATTTTTTGGAAAGTAGCAATTTGCAGTGGGATAAGTAGTCCCAGAGAACAACTCTGTCACACTGTTAAACAACTAAATCTCCCACAAATTGCATTTGCTAAGTACCAATCCTCCTCAGATGGCAAACTAGTGTAGTGTCTCTCATGAGACTTCAATCGTGCAAACACATCTTTATAAATCAAAGCTGTGTGAAGCATTGAATAAGTTGAGTTCCAACGAGTTTTGACATCATGAGCCAAACCCTTTGTGCTTTGAATACGTAATTGGCTGGTTGTTCTCAAACTTTTCTTTTCTACATTGTGCACACTCCAATAATAACAACTATCACGTATTCTTTCAATCACATCTTCTATCACTGATAATAATTATATTGAAAATGTGCGCACAACAATGCATGTGATGAGCTTTACCCCTTAAAAAAAGTGAGCTTATGGAAAGTTTTCCTAATACAGTAGGTATCATGGCATCATTTGTAGTAGGATTATCCATGGTAATTGTGGATAGCTTCCTATCAATGTTCTAGTCCAATATGGCATCAACAAGTACATTGGAAAGGACTTCACAATTATGAGGAATTGGAACATAGACAAACCTAGAATCAATTAACAATCCAAACAAACATAAGTAATAACTAATAAAAATAAACACGACATTTAAAAAAAAAAATAATAGTCATAGTAATGGAACATAAAATAAATTTTTTTAGAAAAAAAAATCGTAGAACATACAGCAAAATTATATTTCACAATGACCATTCTTCATCAATGAAATGTGCCGTATTGCCATGGAACCTCTTTTGTTTGGCTTTGAAGTCCACATATCTGCGGTGATGGCTACCCTACATTTTTTCCCTCTCAATATCATAAACTTTGAAGATATCCTTTTTTATTGTGTTTCTTGAAACCATTTTGAACATGGGTTGAAATCTTCTAAATCCAAAATGATCAACGATAGAAAGGGGATACTCATGTAGAACAATTATGGAAGCAAGATCTGATCGAGAGATTTCTTGATCAAACACATGGTTACGGGACTCCACTTTTCTATCATTTCTTTTCTCATTTGCTAGTAAAAATGATTGCCTTATTTCCACTGATTTGTCCTTCTTACACCTTTCCAAATGCTCATGCAAATGTTTTGTCCCATTTTTACTTTTTTGTGGAGAGCAATTCCAATACATATGGAGAAAGAATCGTAATAAATACAAAGAAGAGGCATCTTTTACCCAGTAATGAAGAGTTTGAACTGAGATTTCCAGATGGATGGAGTGGGGTATTAGTATATCTGACACATAATTTAGATGTGAAAATTTGTCCTCTAAAAAAGGAAATATTAAATGAATTGATCGTAAATTTTGAGATTTTACTATTTCTTTACCTTCTAGGGAAAATAAAGAAAATGGAATTTCCACAATGGCTATAAATCCTTCTAATATCATTTGAGAATACAAATTCATGTTGTGCCCAAAAAATGGATTTTGGTTAGAATCATTAGCAAAAAAAAGAAAATGATTCTGTTGATACATTTGAGTAATTAAATGTTTCACGATTAGTAAGCTGAATTTATTGTCATAACCTATATTTTCAAAAAAAATGGATCTAGTTAAACCATGATCATGAGCAAGTGCATAAATATACTCTTGAAAGATAAGTGGATACACGAAGTCGTGTTGCTGAGATCTATCTAGTTCTAAATATCTTTTGAATTCTTCCATTTGAAATAAAAATGGTACTAAAGATAGAGGATTTTGGGGGTTATAAAATGATACATAGTGCGATATGGTCAAAACAAGGTATTGGCAGTAAGAAAAGAATAGATACCTTGGTAAGCCTTATCAACATATTCTCTATCCACTTTTTTTCCATTTAATTTTATTGGTTTATGTTTGTTATAGGATAAGAAAACGGTTATAAATCCTTTATTTTATTTTTTCAACCCAATCGTTATTTTGATTTTGGAATTTTTTTTTTATCAATATGCTGCTTCTTCTACACATCCACCTCCATTCCATTATGGAGAGTCACAATAGTTAGGATTCATTAAAAAATCAACAATTCCCGCATGGGAAAAGCCTTTCCCGCTACAGACACTAATATATTTTTAACCTATAATTAGATCGGGTAATCATTCAAATTAAGAACAGAAGCTCGTTGCTTTTTCTTTCCCTCGAATTAATTGAACCCATAGGCTCTATCCTTTTATGCATTCAACCTAACTTTAAATTGAATTCGTTTTGTTCTGTTTCAAAAATTCAAACAAGGTTTTGTACCGATCCGGTAAGAATGAAATATTTTCAGAATTCTCTATTGATACAACATGCTATTTTTCCCTTTCATTCCCCTTTAGGAGCAGTCGTGGTCTTCCAAACTTTACTGATGGTATGGACGAATCCTTTGCTTCATCCAAATTTGTAAAAGATCCTAGCCGCACTTAAAAGCCGATTACTCTACCGTTGAGTTAGCAACCCGAATAGAATAAAAAGGGTGTGTAGACACAATTAGAATCAAAATAAATGAAGAAATTATACGAGGCAATCAAAACAATAAATCTAAAAAAAAAAATAAGAATTGATTCTAAACATAAAAATGAATAGATCCAATGAAAATACAAGTAATTATCAAAAAAATATATATAGATAAATATCAAAATTGATAGACCCTATCAAAAAAAAAATTCTTGTATCAGAATGAATCCAATGAACCCATCATTTACCTAAAGGAAAGTAAAAAACTAAACCTATGGACAGAGATAAATAGATATACTTAATTACGATGAATTATATTTGTTTGATACACTGTTGTCAATATAATATATATTTTCGAAAAAAATACAATGGAAATAATATTAAAAAAAAAGGACTTGTGTTGAATTGGCACTCCATCTATAATCTATATAGATACAAAAAATGGAAATTGAGGAATAAATAAGGGAGAAGTAGAAAAAAAATCTCGGGTTTATTCAATCATTTATTCAATCAATATAAGCAAACTTGATTTCTTATTTATTATTTGTTAATAGAGTTCCAACGAAAACCACCTAATTGAAGAGATTGCTAGAATTTTATATTTCTAGGATCCATAAGTTAAGATTTTGTTGTTATAGAACATGGGACTCTATGGGAGTAATGAATAGGTACGAATAGAGCAAAAGAGCAATAAAAAAAAATAGTAGAGAAAGATTATATAAAACTATATACGAGTCATCACTCAATAAATAATGATGGCCATGAGATCCGTTGCTGAAGAGACCGAATCACTCATATTGCTCATAAATTGTTCAAAAGAGAACCAAAATGTAATACACTCTCATTTCATATGGATTTTTTGGTTACATTTAGTGTACACTTGAATGAGCACCAATACGGCAACAAGGAGTCCCACCAAGTGTATTAGAGACATAGAGATTCAACTGGAGACACGAGAATTGATTACGGCATAGTTTGACACAGTCCACATTTGTCTTGCAACTGCTTTCAGCAAAACCACAATCACTGCTTTGTCCATCTATAGTTTCTAACACCTAAAAATGAAAAAAATTGTAACAACTCATTAGAAACCTAAAATACTAGTAACTAAAAATTACAAAATAAATCCAAAATCACATAAGCTCTCACAATCGTATTGTGTGATTTTTAAACTTGTGAGAACTTTACTTTTTTAATAGAAATACTATTAAGTATCATGAAAAATATATGATGAAATATTTCTTGAAAATTTTCAATCATTTGATAATGAAAATTCTCCCCACCTTTTAGATACCATACACTAATCAAATGATTGAAAATTTTCAAGAAATATTTCATCATATATTTTTCATGATACTTAATAGTATTTCTATTAAAAAAGTAAAGTTCTCACAAGTTTAAAGATCACACAATACGATTGTGCGAGCTTATGTGATTCTGGGTTTATTTTGTAATTTTTAGTTACTAGTATTTTAGGTTTCTAATGAGTTGTTACAATTTTTTTCATTTTTAGGTGTTAGAAACTATAGATGGACAGAGCAGTGGTTGTGGTTTTGCCGAAAGCAGTTGCAAGACAAATGTGGACAGTGTCAAACCATGCTGTAATCAAATCTCGTGTCTCCAGTTGAATCTCTGTGTCTCTAATACAGTTGGTGGGACTCATTGTTGCTGTATTGGTGCTCATTCAAGTGTACACTATATGTAACCAAAAAACCCATATGAAATGAGAGTGTACTACATTTTGGTTCTCTTTTGAATAATTTATGAGCAATATGAGTGATTCGGTCTCTTCAGCAACGGATCTCATGGCCATCATTATTTATTGTGGTCGCTTTTGTGTCTGAAAAATTATTTTGAGGTATATTATGGAATTACAAAACTCAATAATAAAACACAGTCAATAAATAGTAGAGATACGAATAATGTTATTCATAAACTAACTTTTCACTAATTTTTTATTATTATAAGAGTCTATATTAATAAATAAATATGCGATATATGTCTTCTTATCCAATGATAAGAAAATGAAGTTTAAAAACCAATTTATGTATAGCAATTTTGTAAGGATATATATATATATATATCTACAGAATCAATCAACCTAATTTTTTCTTTTGCTTTTACTAAGATTAGGCAGATGAAATGAATTAGGAAGATGAAAATAGAGATAATATCATTTAGGTATTGTCAGAGATACCTTTTAAGATTTTAATATATTTTGCCCATTTGATCCGAATCCTAACATCAATTTCTTTACAATTAATGTCATATACCAATAAAAAATAAAAAAAACATCAATGTTATCAAATACTATATCTTTTACGATTAAGAGCAAATTATGTTGATAGTCCCTGTATTTTGGTCCTTCTATCATTTTAGTTCCTGCAATTTTAATTTGCGCAATTTTGATCATGAATTTATAATTTTATTTTAATGTAGTCCAATTGATTACAATTATTAACATTTTTAATGAAAAATACGCAGATAAATTACAAGTGTCGTAATTTCAAGGGTAATATTATAAACTTGCTCAAATTATAAACACAAGCGTAAGCTAGTCGATGAGTGTGTGCCGGAAACCCCTCCGATGCCTAAGTCAGCAAGTGGACAATAGACACAAAAGCTCTGTGTATTCGGGAGTATGAATTGCAATACCTGTGCATAGGTTCTTTCATGAGCTCTTATAGATTTCGTGTGGTACAATCCTAGTAGAACTCTATCTTTCCTTAGCAGAATCCTTCTCACTACCAAACAGGTGAGATGGTTCAAACTCTTTAGCTCTGCAGTCGCTGCGATCAACCGAGCTATCTCGGCTCTGTGCTCCCCTTGGCAAAGCCGTGATAACCCTAGCTATAGGATAGCACCCTGCCGAGCTACACATAGCTCGACCCTTTTTATTGACAACATCTCGGTGCGCTAAAGGACTACCTTCAGATAGCTAGGTCCAAGTCCCAACAACATATATTTGACTGGCCTAGTGTCTGCTTAGCCCAAGACCGAGCTACACTAGCTCTTATTTCAGCCCAGTGCGCGGCCCAACTTCCGAAGAGAATTTTACCTAGCTCAGCCCAATTTGACTACACAAATTACCCTCTCAGTCGTGATCACATGAGCTCCTACCTATTAAAAATTTGAATAAGAGTCTAGATGGCCTAACAATACGGGACCAGACACGAGGATCCAAAGCCAACTTATTAATGCACGAGTAAATCAAGGTGAATAGAGATATATGACACAAAGAGTGGTTCCCATATATGGTGGACCTACCTTTTATCTCACATGTGTTTTGTTTCATTATGTGAAAAGCTGCTGTATTCATTGCACATATGTTAATTAATGTGTTATCGCTTACAATCCAAGCACTTTCCAATCTGAATTCCTATGATGATGTGAGGGTAAAAATGCATATATCCAGCCCCTTCATTCAGCCGGAGCTGGTGAATTCAATGACCATCTTTCATTCATCTGAAAGTGAATTGAAATACTCTTGGAATAGGGGTTTTTCCCTCAGAGGTCCTGGTAAGTGGGAGTGGAGCCAGCGCAGTTGTAGCGATGTCTGGACATGATATTTGAGAGACTATTTTCTGACCGTCAACAAATCATTAATTATTAGAAATAGAAAAAACAAAAAATTCTAAAATAATAAATAAACGGCATCTCCTTTTATTTGAGATGTTATTCTTCATTTTTTTTGCATGAGTTTGTTGACGTAAGTTGCTAGAGAGAGGGTAAATTGTTTCCTTATTTGTTGATCTAAAGGCTTTTATGGTTATTGATTGCACTAGACTAGAAAGGACAACAAACAAACTACTTCCACCCAAAAACAAGCGCAATTATTTTAATTCTTAAGCAAGTGTCTTGCTCGATCACAAAACATGAAAAGATAAGCACGTGTTAATTTCTTCTAATTTCTTGGGCTACTGCGGAACCACAATGCCAATGAGAGAATGAGCGAGTGCAGTGCAGCTCGCAGCATTTGGAGCCTGAGCTCGGCTTCCCTTATTATTTGGTCTTTTGGTAGGTATTGCCAAAAGGCGAAGAGGAGCCTCTGGCATTCGCGGAGCTGGTTCTCAACGCGTTCGATTTCTTCTCCAAGTTGAGCAAGCCTTTGTGCCATAGCCATAGACATAGTTCAGCAACCTCCAAAAATTCGCACTCACATAACTTGAACCAATGACAATCTAGATATGAGACCAATTGAAATATTAGAATCAATAAAATTTGGAAACTAGAGAGATGTGAATAGGCCAAACACTAAAAATAATTTCACTTTTAAAAATTACTTGTCAATTAACTATTTCAATTTTAGATCAACGATTATAACAAATCACATAAATATAATGCTATAAATAGAACAAAGTGATTTAATATGAAAATCTGATGAAATAGAACATTTTGGAAAATTTAATATGAAAATAGAACAAAGTGATTTAATATGAAAATCTAATGCAAAAAGATTACAATCAATGCATTTTGGAAAATATAATGTCCTACAAAACATTTTGGAAAAATCATAAAAGAAAAATTTCAAGGTTTGACTCTTGTAAAAAAATAAATACTAAAATTTTAATTTTATTAATTTCAATCTTAATCTTTTACTCCCTCTGTCCCAAATTATTAGTCTTTTATTCCATTTTTCATTGTCCCAAAATATTAGTCCATTTTCGAAACTCAAGGACTAAAATAATATGAATTTCCTATTTTCCCCTTCTTTTAAATTCATTAATAACACAAAAAAATACAATTATGACAATTGATATTCCCCAAAAAATGTACTATTAAAGGGTAATTTTGGAAAATCAATATTTTTAAAGTGCAATAATTATACTACTAAAAAAAGTTAGATTCCGCAAAAGGGACTATTATTTTGGGACGGAGGGAGTAGTTTATTTTCAGTCTAAATTGGTTGCTTATTCTTGTTAAGTAAAACTGACGAAAAAGTAATATTTTAATTGTTAAACTTAATAAAAAAAAGTATTTTATACATTTTATTTACACTTACATTGATTTAATAAATATATTTTTTTTCCGACTCTTGTTTAGCACACGTGCCCTACTGGTATTAATAAATAAAAATTACTTTTGAAAGAGAATCTATTTCACATCCACCATCTACCTATGGGAACATTTAAAGAAGCAAAAACTGCAAATCAACTAGAATTTTGATTTGCCATCTCAAAATTATGATAGCAACGAAAGGCAATAAAAAAGAAATGCAAATCCATTATATTAAATTTTGAATTTTCATAATTTCATACCTATATCAAAAGATGGAGGATTTCATGGGAATTGAAGCAGCAAAAATTTTGCATTGCTCTCACTATAAATAAGCTAATGTCCCCAATCATTTTGTTCATAATTTCATAATCTCATTGCTAAGACAATAATGACCTTTTATTTTCTGCCACCATGCCCACAAAGATTCAAAATTTTGCTAGAAGTGCTCTAGTTAAACCTGTTACAGTTAACGTGGGAAGAGCTGGAGCAGCAAATCTCGATGTGATTCAAGAGGTGGAATATGTGAAGCAAGAAGCAAAGATTGTTTACCTTCTTGAATGCTTGCAAAAGACCCCTCCTCCAGTTTTGATATTCTGTGAGAACAAAGCTGATGTGGATGATATTCATGAATATCATCTTTTGAAAGGAGTTGAAGCAGTTGCAATTCATGGAGGCAAGGATCAAGAGGAGAGAGAATATGCCATTTCGTCTTTCAAAGCAGGCAAGAAAGATGTCTTGGTTGCAACAGATGTCGCCTCAAAGGGTTTGGATTTTCCAGACATTCAGCATGTTATCAAATTCGATATGCCTGCTGAAATTGAGAATTATGTCCATAGGATTGGACGAACAGGAAGATGTGGCAAGACAGGAATAGCTACAACATTCATTAACAAGAATCAAAGTGAGACGACTCTTTTTGACTTGAAGCACTTGTTGCAAGAAGCAAAGCAGAGAATACCACCAGTTTTGGCTGAGCTTAATGATCCCATGGAAGATGTTGATGCAATCACCAACACTAGTGGAGTTAAAGGCTGTGCCTACAGTGGTGGACTTGGGCACAGAATCCGTGATTGCCCCAAGTTAGAGTATCAGAAAAGCCAGGCAATTGCTAGCTCTAGGAGGGATTATTTTGGATCAGGAGGTTATAGAGGGGAAATGTGATATGTACTTGAATGCTTTCACGCCATTACGGCTCTGGTATGTGATTTGTTTATCCTTGTATAAGTAGATTAAAAATATCTTTAATGTTAGTTTGTTTTTGATACTGAGTAGTAGAATGATGACTTTTAGTCAATGGCGGGTTAACTTTAAAATCTTGTTTGGGTTACTTTTAAATTTGAATCCTTTCACATGGATTACACAAAGGAAAAGCAAATTATGTGATGCAATTATGGTTGTTTACTGAGAAAATGCTCTTAGAAAGAAATACTCAAGAACTCATTTCATACTAGAGACCATAGAAGCGGCCATAACCATTACAAAAATTTGTAGAAGAAAAGAGATGCATGCTGTGGTTGCACACACTCACACAACGTTTACTAGAACAGTCATCTATTTGGGAAATCATATGTATCAGCAGGTTCCTCAAGTGCTTCCATTGTAGCTCTTAGGTCTCTAATGACAAGTGATGGATTAGATTGCTGGTATCTTGAAGAGGAATTAGGTTAGTATTTTATGAGCCCATACCCATTGTATTTTATGATTGTTTTATATAAACACAACTTCAATCTAGCATGGAATTGAAATGACCTTTGTTTTCCTCTCGACTTTTTCAATCTTCTCTTAACTCTCTGGTAACACCTAATTAAAAAAGAAAGGTGTCTAACTCAATTCCTTTTTCAATTTGTCATATAAGAATTTAAAAAGAAAAACAACAATGTTAGCTTTTAATTGAAACTGTTTTTGTGGGTGTTTGGGAAGTTGCTATTTTAGTAGGCTAAAATTTTTGTGTTTGAGAAGATAGTTGGATTTTTTTGTAATTGAACGTGATGTTTGTGAGAGAAAAAGTGAAATAATTATGGGTTTGATATGACAGTTTGTCTTACTAGTTATTTTAGCCTATTTTGTCTTTTTGTGGATTTTAACCAAAAAAAGACTAAAATCCAACTTGCCAAACAGGGCCTTTATGTGATTTTTTTAGACCAATTTTTTCCCCCTCATCTCTACTTTTTCTATCTTCTCTTTAACTCTTCGGTAACACCTAATTAGAGAAGAAATATGTCTATCGCATTGCTTGTGCCAGGGCTTGTAGTTATATTTATAGAAATATATATTCGTCATCAATATTAGGTGTAAGCTCATTTTAATTAGGCCTCTCTATTGCTTCTTTTTGTTTTGATATATATTCGCCATCGTCATTGTTCATCAAATTTTTAGTTTACCTTTGGCTTGGCTTGGTTTGTCCTTATATCAATGTTAGCTTTGAAACATTCGAAATAATCAAAGTTGGTTTGTCCTTAAAGAAGAGGTAGCATCATTGAAAGGACAAGTTCAAGCATATCAAGGACGTTTTGTGGAGTTCGAACACTTCATGAAAGAAATGCTGGGCAATCATAGTGGATACAACTCTTCTGATGAGTAAGTACTTTAAATTTTAGTACATAATTCTAACAATAAAAGTTATAAATTTTTGTTCATGAAACTTATATGAGTTGATGGCTGAAAATATGCTGTTTGGTGCTAAATTCATGAAATAGATACCCGATGAACAATGAAATGGCTACTTTACTCTGGCTGATCTTGTCTTGGAACTCTGTAGTTTTTCTTTTTGTCTTGTTTGATTGTTTTTTTTCCCTTTGGTGATTTGATATTTATGGGAGTTGCTATTTCAAAAAGTTGCTTGTGATGTTAACTTAAACTGTAGATAGTGGTATGCTCATTGATATTTATCTTGGTGCCATATGGTTTTCTTGCTTTGCTTGCCCTACTGCTTTTGTTTAATTTTGGAGGAATGATTGAAATTGATTTTGGTGAGAATAAGCTGGCTGTTTTGTGTGTTAATGCTATGATTGGATTAACAAATTGTTGCTGCTATCTTGCCATATTTTTAATTCATTTTGCTAGATGCTTTGGCAGTAGCGTGATTCACCAGCAGATGGTCTGCAATATCAGTTTGTTAGCTGTCAGTATGTAATGAGTCTAGAAGTGCTGCTCTTTGGTCCTTCTAGTTGTTTGCCTCTCTTTTTTTTTTTTTGGTTTGGTTGTTGGTTTCTCATCAAATTAGTGATATGCTAGCAAATGATTAGACTTTCTTTTCGGTACCAACTTAGTTGGGATCGTTTAGTTGTGCTTTGGTGCTCTTTGCACTTCACTCTATTGATGTTTGTTTGTTGTCTTGTAGTATATTCTTCATCAATAAAGTTTTTTTTTTGGTTGTTCATTGAAGTCTGGACTGTATTTGTCCATTGATTTGTTCCATTAGAGAGATCTAAATCCAGATTGATGGAGGATTTGTTTCAAGATGAGCAAAGAAAACACTTGTTCATTATCATTAAAACCCATCATCATGTGTATATATGTATATTATAATAATAATAATATAAGGGGTGGGGTGTATAGTTGGTGGTCGGATCAAAGAACACTTGTTTTTCTCCAAGAAATACGGAGAAACCAATGTGGACACAACACAAACAACTCTTTTCTTCACCAAAAGGCCAACCCATCTTCTTTAATCCTTCAAAATTTCCAATTTGTTTTCTTTTTATGGAGATATTAGAAATGAAAATAAAGCCTGACTCTGTAAATTTGACTGTAACAGAGTCTTGAAAAAAAATTAGTGATGTGGTGGTTGATGACTTAGGTTTTAGGTTGTGCTTGATGTAGAAAGTTGTTGGCTGTGATTGTTCAGTTCAACAAAGCAAGAGCCTTGCTTTGCTGACAGTAAGGTTTTTTTTTTTTTAAAAAAAAAAAAAAAAAAAAATGTGTCGTAGATATGGCCATTGTCCTCTTCTCCATGGGAGGCAAGGCCTTCTCTTTTGGAAAACCTAATGTTGACTCGGTTGTAGACCGCTTTCTGAACCAAAATGCACAGCCAAGTGAAGGCGTCTCCTGCCATGCCTCGCGGCACGATGATGCCACTGTGCAATTGCAAGTAGAGGTGCAGTCATGCGTGTTTATAGATATGAGTTTGCCGGTGCATTAATTTTAAGTTGTGCTTATACGTTGAGTTTTTGATATATTTCACATCAGACAAATATGACATGTTTTTGGATATTAATGGTTTTGTTAAATATGTTTTTGATGTGGTGAATTCATAGTAAACAAAATGGATGGATAGTTATTTTGGACTTATAATGTGTTGATATTGACAGGTGGTAGTAATTAGGGAAAATTATGCAAATGGTCTCTGTAATTTACTTGTTTTATCATTTTGGTCCCTGTTGTTTCAATTTGATTAATTTTGCCCTTGAATTTTACGGATTGTGTTATATTAGTCCAATAAATAACTGCGGTAAAGTTTGATGGATGAAAAATCAAAGGATACGTCAATTTGGTCCCTGTAGATTATGTAATGCATCAATTTAGTCTCTATAGCTTATAGCAAAGTCAAAACTACAGGGACCAAATTGACACATCATTTGATTTTTCGTCTATCAAACTTAACCACCGTTAT